CGTATTAAAGATGCAGACAGGGTTAAAAAGGGGTGCGTTAAACTTCACAAAACTAAAATTAGAATAATTTACAATTGATAGCAGTAAAGAGTAAGTGAGAAAGATTCCAATGGAATACCTAGGGATTAATTTCTTTAAAAGCATGCCATTTAAGGTCATGGACTTCAGTAGGTAAAATAATGACATGTTAAACTTTTTCAACTCAAACTTATTTAAATCACCAAATATGTGTCGAGCAGCTTCTCTGTTAGTCAGGTTGTTGGGTGATGGGTAGAGGTGAACAGGACATGACCTGTGTTCACTCCCACTCTGAGACTCTGGAAAGTTCTGGCTGGGAATGCTATGTGTGCCAAGTTGTGACTTTCGGCAACACAGGAACCCATTAAGGGCCTGTGATAAAGAGTCAGCCCAGGAGGCACTCCAGGGGAGATGGGGGGAAGACTCTCCTTTTCTCCCAGGTGTGTGATGGAGGTCCATCCACCACTGCTGGAAGGTGTCTATCCCACCCAGCCTTAAGCAGGGTCTATAGAACACATTGCCGCCGCCGCCACCACCACCACCACCACCACCACCAGGGCTGGTACCCTCTGAGAGGGACTGAGAGTTTGTTCTCAGACCTCTGTGCACATGTTTTCATTTGGAAATTGCTGTTCTCAAGAGATGCCCTGGTGGTGAACAAAGTTGCCATTAGACCTCAATCAACTTGTATGACCTTCCTGTGTGATCCAGCCGCCTTCTTCCCCTTTGACAACCTTTCTGTGACCTTAGCGATTTCCCGCTACTACCACCACCACCACCCCCCAAACCCATCCTAGACAATACAAAACCTCTGGCTACTTTTGAAAATGACCCTGTCACTACCATGTGAACTGCAGGGCTTCTCGGTGAAAGCTGAGCTCACTCCAACATGAATACCGAGTGTTTAGCCTTCTTCCTGGTGATAGAGAACACCGCATGGTACCTGTTGGCTGCTGGTACTCCATCATGGCTGTCCTTCCCCCTGTTTCACTTACCAGGGACCCAATCATGCCCTTAGGCCATTGGTGCCAGAGCCATTATTATTTCTGAAATAATAAGATTCCTGGGCTAGCCCTCAAAGACCTTCTTAGAACAAAATGAAGCTGTTAGAATCTTTCATTTTTTAACTAACACTTGTGTAGACTGTCACCCTCTTGCCTGATGTCTCACTCTTTCTGTCCTTCAATATTCCTGGACTTCTATTCTTCAGTCCTCACTGATTTCTGTTCTCTTCACAAATGCTGGTCAAGTATAATTTGTAGTCCTCACTTGATTTCAGCTATCCTCTGTGAAAGTCAGTGACCTAGCTCTACACATAACTTTGGGGAGAGGGGAAAGGGAGGTGGTAGGTGGGGGAGGCATATGATTTTAGTATCGTGTGTCTATTTGGCATCTATGAGCTTCAGTGATCTTCAGATGATACAGTAAACATATGCTCTATAGATGCATTTACTCTCTACCTTTCATTCCTGTCTTCAAGTATTACAGTGGGGGTGGGCACAGAAAGGTGGCTCATAATCTCTAAGACTTTACCACAGATTGCCTCCATTCCCATAACATTTGGTCCAGGAACATTAATTAAACATCTCCCAGAGTCTCTTGTGCACTATCCACCCACCTGAATCTTGGTGGCCATAGGTATGTCTGGCAAAGGCTTCCTCTCTGTGAGCCCAGTGGTAGGTTCCATCTCTTTAGCCTGGCTCACAGGGGCATAGGCCACTGACCACTGTAAAAAGTGTATTTTTAAGAAAGGATATGACTTAGCCTGGATGGTGTGGCTCAGTGGTTGAGTGTAGATCTATGAACCAGGAGGTCACGGTTCAATTCCCAGTCAGGGCACATGACCGGGTTGCACTCTCAATCCCAAGTAGTGGGCATGCAGGAGGCAGCTGATTGATGATTCTCATTATTTATGTTTCTACTTCTCTCCCTCTCTCTCTCCCTTCCTCTCTGAAATTAAAAATATATTTTAAAAAAAGAAAGGATATGACTTAGAATTAATCCTCTGCCAGATGATAAGGTGGTAGTGAAATTCAGAGGATTGGGGGTCTCGTTAGCAGTGAGCATTCTCCTCAGGGAGCTCTTTTGAAGGGGTGAGTAAAGTCTCCTGGCACTAAAGGCCAGTGAGGACAGATACCTCTGTTAGACCAGCCTCTCCCATCCCTTCATTCCCAAGGGTGTGAGGATTCATTTCCCTCTTCCTGGGTAGCTCAAAACCTCAATGACTATCATTCCCAGAGTCCAGGACTTCACATCTATTGCCATTCATTCCAGGAAGCTAGGTTAGTGTCCTGCAGTGGTTCTCAAGTGTGGTCTCTGGACCAACAGCAGCAGTACCACCTGTCAACCTGTGAGAAGTGCACATTCTTGGTTTCCACTCCAGATCTACTGAATCAGAAAACCCGAGGGTGGGGCTCCACGACCTGTGTTTTAACACACCCTCCAGGTGAGGCTAATGCATGCTCAAGTGTGAGGCCCACGGAGATAGTGGTTAAGAGCAAGGGGTTAGATTGCCTGAGTCAAAGCCTGACTCTGCTTCTGTGTGATCTAGGCAAGGTCTCTGTCTCTCAGTTTTCTCATCTGAAAATTGGAGGCACTACAGTATCTTCTAGGACTTCACAAGATAATTGTGAGGAAGAGAGTTAATCATGTATGTAAAGTACTCAGAACATGCCTGGCATAGAGAACCTGCTTAGGAATGATAGTCTCCATCAAAGGTAGTTACCACTATCTGATAACACACATAAGGAAACTGAGGCTCAGAGAGGTGAATGGCTTCATGCCATAGGTGGAAAGCATGATGTCTCACTCTCGAGAGACACACCATATTTTGGGGGGTGGGGTTGGGGAAGCCTAGCATGTGAAGCCGTGCTTGGCACCTGGGGGGGGGGTTGGGGGGATGTCAAGAGATTTGTCCTGCCCCTCCCATTAAGAGCTATGCTTGGAGGCCCTGGTCTTGGCTCTGCTAACCCTTCATGCTTTCCCCTTGTGCACTTTGGGTTCTTTCTCTCTCTTTTGTGGGGTTTTATGGTAAAATGAAACGAAAGGATGTGGCACGACCTTCACCTTGACCTTACTTTGTCTGCAGCCAGAAGGTGAGCTGGCATTAGTGGAGGCTCAATGAGGATCTCGGGTTGAGGAGGCTGCCTGAGAAATTTGGTGATAAATTAAAATTCATTCCTGTGGAAAATTGAGAGTAGATTAGTTGAACTGCCTAGACTTGTAAGACATTTCACGGATTGAGGTCTTTGGGGGTAATTAGCAAACTGTGCATAGAATTGGCAAGCTATTACTTAGGGGAAATTGTCTTTTTTACACACTATGTGGCTGGATTGGGGGCCCCTTGCAACCATATGTGAATCTTCTGAGACTGTTTTGACCATCTCCTCCTGTCCCGTGGGGGTTAAACACAAGGGTGGTGCTTTAAGAAGGGGCGGCCCTGCTTTGGACCTGTACCCCTAGGCCTATGAGCCTCCTCAAAGGGGCTTCAGAAGGTAAGGACCTCCCCAAGTTCAAAGTTACCTAGAACTAGGGAAAAAGGCTTATCTCACCTTAATATATATTAACCTACGTGAGAACTATAATCCTCTTAATTGCCTCACAACCCTCCCCTCCAAATGCATGTGCCCAGACACACCACAATAGTCTGTAGTGGCTCTTCCTAAATTGGCCTGGATGTGAATTTCTCAAATGCAGTGTTTGAACTGAAAGCAGGGCTGATCATGTCTTACTGGTGATTGTTTATGTTTATTTCCCAGTAACTTCTTAAAGGTGCATGTTTGAGACTTCAGAGCCGCATATTTATTTGGTTCTTCCTTTGGGTCACAACCGTGAGAGTGATTTCAATAGATTCTGCTTCTCGGGAGTCACAGGATCCGGATGTGTACCCTCCCTCCCATTAGAGGGAAGAAAAATGTTTGTTAAGGATTCTCCCATCACTTGGGCACAGACCCCGTGGGGTCCAGGAACACATGCTCTGACACCATTCTATGTAAACCCAGACATGCTTCTGCTCATTTTAATTAGACAGATAAAATTAGCAAGGAGATTAAGGTAAAAGGAGAAATTAAAAATATTTAAATGTTAGGTGGAATTTACAAAAGTGAATCGAACAATGAGGTACAGAAGGAATGCAGAGAGACACAGACACACTTGAAACATTCCTCGGATGCCATACGGCTTAAGCCAGTCCACGGGTAAGGTAAGAAGACTCCTCCCTTGCCACCTCTTAAATTGCAGATTCCAGGATGTGGAAGAACATTCTCCAGACACACTTTCCTTCTCCTTCTCTTCAGATGTTACCAAGAATAATTCATCAGTCAGTATCATTCTAGAATGGCCCACACTGCATCCAATTCAAACCACTCACCTGTTTCCTGTCTGAATTTGCAAGCTCTTGAGAGTTTTCCCCCAATTTCATTTTATTTTTCTTCCTACCCTCTCCCCATTGAGCCAATAGGCCACCTGGGCCAATCAGAAAACCAAAACCAACAATACGTTCCTGCCCCTTCGAATTTTCCAGGCCAAGACTTCCTAGACCTTTGTTTGCATCTGTTACGAACAAGCACAGTCATCTTAGAACACAGACGTACATATGTGTGCTCACGCACACATGGAAACAGGTTTTCTTTTTTTTTTCTTTTCCAATTTGTGGTTTCTTTTTCCTTTTTGCAGAAAATGCAAACAAAAGAAAAACAAGGTTTTCAATTGAAGGTACATCTCTTCTTCAATATGAAGACATTAATTGAATTGGTCGGATCCCCCATGCAGTGGTCAGCAAAGTCCTTTGGCAACTGACGGAACGACATCTGGAGACTCAGGAGCTGGGGTTGGTTTGAAGAAACTTCCCTACATGAGTCGTGAGCAAAGGGAAATGGATGTGGGAGAAGGGAGAGGACTCTTGGGGAGGAGTACAGAAGGAGAAAAGAAAAGAATGTCATTGGCGAGGAAGAAAATGGAACGCTGCTCTGTTTCTTCCCTCCACCTCCTTCCCTTCCTTCCTGTGGACAGATGACTCCAGCCCACTGAGGGGGGAGCTGAGTTCACTCTTGAAACCCTGATGCATACTCTTGTGTCTTCACTTCCGCTGAACATCACCTCTTCATATTTGTATTATCTATTTTGTTTCCCACGGCATCATAAACATGCTTCTGTCACTGAGAAATGAAGGTTGACTATGAGGAGCAGGTCCAGTTTTTTCTTCACATATGTGACACATTTCTCAATGGAGAAGCCAATCTCTCCAGAACATTCCACAGTGTTCAACCTCTGGCTCCCCCTTGAGTCTGGTCCTTTTTCTTCCTCTCCTTCCCCCAGAAAATGAGAGTTCTCATGCCATTGCCGTTGGTGACTGACTCATCTGGACCCTCATAGAATGAATGCTGTTCAGGATCTTCTTCTGGTGACCTGCCAAGGTGACCCCTATTCTCAGGAGGTCTCTAGGAGGGGGAAAACACAAAAGAAGGCACTTTAATGTTACAGCAGCTTTTCAGAGATCAAAATTCATCATAGAAAGCAAATAAAAGTGTTGAAGACCCAAGAAGTTGGGTAGGTAAGTGCAAATGTTTAAAATCCAAGGATCCCAAGTTTAAGAGTCTTTAGCAAATGCCTACCTGGATATTTCCTTACTGAACTTCACTCTCTCCATGGAGTAGATCTTGTCTCCAATGCCCCCTCCAATTTAGATAATCCTGGAAGGATCTGGAGCAGCCCCTTCATTGTGTCCATGACTCTAGGTAAACTAGAAGTTTCCTTTGTTGTTTTTTTCCAGCACCCCCAGCACATGTTGTATGGGGCTTCAGCTATTCTGTGGCTTTCTGGCTAAATTAGTGATCACCTGCTGTGACTGAAAGGATGTGGGGCTTGCTTGGTTTTCTGATGTTTTCCCCCCAAGTTTCCATTTTGTGCCTCTGTTTGAATTTTAATATCATACATTTTTAAGAAGGGTGATCTCAAAGGTTTAACTTTCAAATATCTGTCCAAGCAGGAATCCAAGGACTAGGATAGGGATTTGGTATGGATTCATCTTTGAGCTATGAGTCTTAATATGAACAAGTTCATGGCTTATATTTGACTTTGGGGAGACCCATGCTTCTTTCCTTAATAATAACATGACAGTGCTTGAGTACTTTTCAAGTGCCATATACTAACTCATTCATACCTATGGAAGCATTATGTAAAAATCGACAAACCATTTAAATTCAATGATAATACTTTAAGAGCAATCATTTCTCCTGTGCATCCTGTAGGGAAGGAAATAGGCAATAGGCCAAGTGCTTAGCATGTGCTATTCCACTTGCCACAAACCAATGAGATGGGCACTATTATAGACATATTTATAGAAAAGGCAACTATGGCTCAGAGAAGTAACATGCTCTAGATCACACAGTGGGGGAGCATTCGGGGAGCTGGGGTTCAAATTCAAGACCACTAGGCCTCAGCTACCCTGCTGGGCTGCTCTCAAACTCTTTTAAGGTGCTACCTGTACTCCCCCCAAAGCTCTGGGTCTCCAGCACAGCAGCTCACTTTGTACACTGTGCACTTGACCCCCAAGGAGGACCCTGTGCTGGACCTCCACCCACTGTGCCGCCGCCGCTTTCCTGATCCCCCTCCTTTCAGCAGGTGGTCAGTGCCCCACAGGCTGCAGCAGGTTTAGATGATTAAATTGCCCCGTGTCTTTTTAGCAAACATGTAACATGTTTGGGAGGTGTACTTGAATTTTAAATTCACAAATTGTCCCGCAACCTATTTTATTTATTTAGTTGCTCATATTCTTTTTCCATCTTCTATCTCCAAGAAGATAAACTAAATTGCTGCAATAGTGTGTGGACATTTTTACTTTGAACTAAATTAAATTCCTTAATTTTAGGTTTCACTTTCCTTTGTTCTTTTCATGGTGGCTATTCTCGGACTCGGGAAATTATTTCCCTTGATTCCTTCTGTTTGTAGGTGATCAGGTGATGACTGCCCTCATACTCATCTAGGGGAAGCAGGAGTAGCCTCATCTTCATGAACACCCACTTCGGTCCCTGCACCCAGGCCCCCAATCATCTGCGCCATCCACTTTAATTCTGCGAGATTGGGAAGCTGGTTTTTCACCAGTCAATGCTTCTGTTTTATTTTTGGTGTCTGACAATAATTCATTATGTCAGGGACCATCTTTTTTAGGCATCAGCAGGAAATGAACCCAGGTTTAAAAAATGAAGTCTGAAGTTTAGTGGATCCAAGACTAGATGCTCATTCAAGTCACCTACCTCCCTGGAGGAAGTGGAGGTGCCATCATTTCTGGCAAGAATGAACCTCAGAGAGGTGGAACTGGACTCCAGGAAGATGGACTGCAAAGCAGGAGTGGGGGACCGAGGCCGAGTATTCAGAAGCCGTCCCTCTGGGGCTCAATTGCTGGGCGTAGGTGACCACTCCCTCCCGTGGAACTCAGCCACTGGCCTGCCCTAGGAGGGTAGCCCCACAACTACGTCTGTGCCCGACACAAAACAGGTGATCAGTAAGTGTTTCCAGCTGTTTGTGGACTGATCGATCCTCTACCATGGAAAATGTGTGTTACAGACCAGCAAACCCAGTGCTGTCAGTACACGTTTTAGTCTGGGCAGCCAGTGAGGTCCCCTCTGGGTTATGTGTGTGTGTATGTGCATGGGTGTGTATTCAAAATTTGACCGACTTTAGACCAACTTTAGTTCAGTGCATTATAGAATCTTGACTGCATTATAGAATCACTTGGGCAGTTTTTAAAATCCCAATGAAGTTACAATATCAGGTATCAGTCCCTTTAAAGAGTCCCAGGTGATTCTAGTGTGCAGCAAAGTATGGGTGCTGCTGTGGCCCTGGGATGGACTGGGAGAAGGATATGGAGCTGGCAGTCAGGAACGCAGGCATTAGGCCTGCTCTGCCAATCATGAGCTAGAATCTTCAGGAACTGACTTCACCCACTTTCTGAACCTGCTGAATGAAAGGGGTGGAACTACATAAATATTTCTCAAACTACAGTTCCACAAACCCTGCCTCTCAAAAATGTGGCTCCATGGTATTGAATAATTTTAAATGGGTTTCTTTATTTCAGGATTTCTCATGGCCTTTTCAATGCTAATATGTGTCCTGAATAGCCAAGAGAGTGATAAAGTGTGCGGCATTTCCTAAATTTATTTGACCGGGGGACCTTTTTTCCAAGGAGAACCTATTAGCATTTCCCAGAACAGGTGCTACTCAGAACATTCCTGGCGAAATGATGGACTGCATGGATCTTTAAGACCCTTTCTGGCTCTCATTTTATCTGAATAATGTTGGGTTTTGTATCCCTCCAGAGTCCTTTGGGCGCTGCAGACTGGTAAGTGATTTGTGGGGGGTGGAAATGTATACTTATTTACAAGTGCTATGTAGGTATGAACAAGCTCCCCCACATCTGCAACTGTTGCTGAGTCAGGGCCGTGCCTCTGCCTGCTATGTTGTTAAAGTGCTGGCTGGCTGTGTTCTTTCCATCTGGATGCTCCCTTTGATAGGCTGAGTTTAAAAATTTAAAGGGAGGAGCGACTCGTGGTGATTAGGCAAATGACATATGGCAATGACTGAATAACTCTCATTTGGGGCCCAGAACCATCTCAGCCTCCCCACCTTCAGCCTTGCCTCCTTTTTTTCCAAGGTGCGCCCCCACCGGCCTGGTTCCATTCAGAGAGGAGATCTGGAGCTGAAGCCAGAAGTCAGGACTGGTACCAAGGACAATGGCAGGGAAGGAGCCTTGACCCCCACCCACAGGCTGGACAGAGACGATTCTCATCACTTACTCTGATGTCATCTGGGTGACCAGCTGGAGGGAGGTGAAGCCGGCGGTGAGGAAGCTGTCCCTGTACTGAACCATTTTGATGGCACTGAGCCAGTCATCCACGGTGGTAAAGGCCGTGAAGTCTGGGATAGAGCGGTCTAGCAGGGGCTGGGAAGGCCTGTGAGACAGAGAGGAGCAGGTGACTTCACAGCTGCAGCAGTGTGCGGAGAGCCATGCTCCGGGCAATGGCAGACTCCACGTGGGGCGGCACATGCTTGACAGTGGAGCCCTGTGCTGACCCTTCCTTCCAGGTTCCTGAGTTGGCATGGCTTCTCAGGGCCAGGTGGCTAGTCCCTCTGCCTCTGGGCACTGCCACACGTCAGTCAGCCCAGACAGGCTGATTGACCAGCATGCAGTATAAAGGGAAGGGAAGGCTCAGGACTCCCTTGTAAACTGAAATCTAAGAGCTTTTAAAAATATATACAGTTCACTGCCACCTCCCCAAATCTATTGTTAACATTTGGCTTTCTGGTTTTGTCCTCAGCTAATTGAAATAAATGGAACAGAAGGGCCCACCACTGATCTTCCCTGGCACATTCTCAAAGCAGACACCCAGGTACCCAGTCTGGAAACCAGGGTGCCTTCTTGACACATCTTCAGCACCAATGCCCAATCCTTTACCAAGTCATAAAGATTTGACCTTCAAAATCGTTCAAACTCATCCACTTCTTTCCATACCATTCCCCTGACTTAAGACCCTACCTTCTCTGTCATGATTACTGCAGTGCTTTTTCTTCGTGCATGCTTGTTCCCCTCAACCTAAGTTCCACACTGTTGCCTGATGCTCTTTCTTACAAATGCAGATGTGATTATGTCAATAACCCTCACCTATTCCTGATTCAAGTCAAACCCTCTAAGGCAGTGGTTGCCGACCTTTCGGACCTCACAGACCACCGGTTGGTGACCGCTGCTTTAAGGGATGCTCATTGCTCTGAAAATCAAGCCCAGAATTCTTAGCAGGCCCTAAACGCTCTGAGTGTCTGGCCCTCACCCACCTCACCAGCGTTAGCCACCAACCTGCCCCCTCACAAACTGTACTCCACACACTAGCCCTGTCCTTTCCACCCTCAGGCCTTTGCACATGCTGTACCCTGGCCCCTCTACTCCCATATTCCTTTCATTCTGTTAATGCACTCCCTCTCTTCAGCTGTCATCAGGGATGTCTCCCTGACAACAGAGGAAGGTAGATGCTCTCCAAGCATCAGGCACCTGCCACCCTGATCTTTGGGTGATTATCTAAATGACTCAAAGCTCCACGAGGACGGGGACCATGTCTACCTTAGTCATTCTGTAGTGCCACAATGGACACAGTGCTTAACCCAATAAACTTTGGTTAAAAGGATGAATAATAAATGAGTTAACCCTGCAAATGTACAACTGATAGTTGCTGACAGTACTTGACAGTTATTCTGTTCATTTGCTCATAACAAATCCCATTGCTTTGTATCTTTGTCCCCTAGCAATCAGGGCCTTTGCTTGCTAATTGGTTGGCCAAGGTTCCAGGTCTGCAGCTCCACCTGCCTAACAGACTGGAGTGGTTAACAGAAAGGGTGCCTTCTGGAAACAGGATGGCCCAGAAGTGGGGCCTCATACCAAGCAGATCAGATGTGCTCAACTGTTAGAGAACCCAGTGCCCAGTCCATCTAAAGCCAATGGGAGGTAGAGACCTAGACAGGTTTCTTGACATCTGTCTACATAGCAAGCATGTCAAACTCGCAGCCCACAATGAATATTTTTGCGGCCTAGCCAATATAATGGTATGTAAGAAACGTTTTAATAAAAATTTTGTGACTTAATTTTTATAATATCCTGTTAAACATAATTATTAATAACGAACTACAATGTTCACTAATGACTGATTACTATAATCGTGTGGCATTCATTTCCCTTATGCACCTTACGCGCAGGCACACCATTTCTCTCCACTAATACTAGCAGCGAATATTTTAGCAGCCAATTGCCATGTCATTAGTCTTGTACTGACTTGTTTGGTGTGTGCAACAGGAAATATTTCACTTTCGGAGAACAATAAAAATAGGTTTATTTGCATTACGCTTATTAATTTGTGTAGTTATTCAGTGTCTGGTAAGTTAATGTTCAAGAAAAAATACTAATTTTTGTTAAAATGTTCTATTATGTTAACAATTACTCATTTATTTCAGCCCTTTGTATTCAGCATGTCTCTATCGAAATAAACCTATGTTTCTATGAAAATTGAAACTTTTGTTTTTTTTGTGGCCCACATAAACTTAAACCTTATTTGGCCCGTGTTAGCCTTTGAGTTTGACATGCTTGGTCTAGTCGTGGTCGGTTGGCAAACTCATTAGTCAACAGAGCCAAATATCAACAATTGAAATTTCTTTTGAGAGCCAAATTTTTTAAACTATATAGGTAGGTACATTGTTATTAACTTAATTAGGGTACTCCTAAGGCTTAGGAAGAGCCACACTCAAGGGGCCAAAGAGCTGCATGTGGCTCGCGAACCGCAGTTTGCCGACCATGGGTCTAGCCTATGCTGGAGGCAGGGAATATTTTAGAGAGAACCAAGAGAAAAAGGAAGAGAACAGTTTTGGAATTTCTCCCATTAGTGGATAAGCTCAATCACCTTACCCTTGCTCTTAATGGACCAAAAGGCTAGCAGTGTTGCTATTGGCCTTGCCCCTGACCACGCACACCTAATAACCACTAGACTCACACGGCGGTGATGGTTGCCACAGTCTTGAGACTTGCTGGGTTCCGGATCATCTTGTCCAGGGTGTTGACAATCTCAGCAAAGCGGGGCCGGCTATTACGGTCCTTCTGCCAACAGTCCAGCATGAGCTGGTGTAGAGCAGCTGGGCAGTCCATGGGCGGGGGCAGCCGGTAGTCCTGCTCAATGGCATTGATGACCTGCAGGGACACACATGGGAACAGGTATGATTGGGTGATGAGCCATCAGCCAGTCATTCACAAATTAACCCCCAAGGATGGAGCCTGCCTGACCTAGGTGCCCTCATTCTATGCTCATGTACTTCCTACCATAGTAAGATGTGACATGTACTTGGCTTTTCTCCCTAGATTGTGGGCTCCTAGAAAGCTGGGACCACATCTTAATTGTCCCTTTGTATCCCTAGCACCAGTGCTGGGCCAGATGCACACTAGATCTCTGCAACTGTTTATTGAAGAATAATCTGGTTAATTGGCTTGAACTTCTCGTTAAGAGGACACTGACCCAATTCTGCCTTGCTGGCAGCTAGTGGTGCCAGGGCAAATGAAACAATGGCACATGGGAAGCCCAGTAAACCCACTATTTATAACAGACACCACCAAAACTTGTGGTGGCCTCTTCCTTTCACTGTTAAGCAAAGAAATGGAAGGAAGAATCAGGACTTGATGGAGCCCCTACTCCAGTGATGGCGAACCTTTTGAGCTCAGCGTGTCAGCATTTTGAAAAACCCTAACTCTGGTGCCGTGTCACATATAGAAATTTTTTGATATTTGCAACCATAGTAAAACAAAGACATATTTTTGATATTTATTTTATATATTTAAATGCCATTTAACAAAAATCAACCAAAAAAATGAGTTCGAGTGTCACCTCTGACACGCGTGTCGTAGGTTTGCCATCACTGCCCTACTCCATGCAAGGGGCTTTCTGATCATTTGCCTTCATTTTCAAGAGGCAGCAACAGGGATTGGGTTGAAGGATTTGGTTAAACAAATTGGTTCAGGACAATAAAAATGGTCAATTAACAAGGTGGTCCACAATCAATATCTCCAATCAGGTTTTGCAGACTCCAGAGGATAATTTTGTAAAGGTTTTAGGATCTTCATGTACTTTTGTCTGTTGTTCAGGTTATAGTAATTGTTTTTCACCCTTTACTTCTTAATTCCAATTCATTTAAATCAATTATGTCTGCTCTGTGCTTTTTGTAATAGAAAAAAAATTGTAAATGACCCTGTGCTACACCTACGGATTTATTATGATATAACACAATGGAAAGCCTAGAATTCAATGCAGGCCTTCCAGAGATGTTGCAAAAATGTACCTATTTAAATGGAAATATACTCATAGTGTAATATTAGGCAAAAGAACAGGCTGCATAACTGCAGACATGGCATAATCTTGCTTTTGTAAAAAACTAAAACCAAACAAAAACAAAAAAAACCATAATTATACACACGCATAGAAAAGACCTGGGAAAGATATATACCACAGAGTTAATGGTGGTTGCCTCTGGGCAGGTAGCAACATGAGTGCTCTTTATGCTTTTCTTTTTGCTTGTTATTTTCTGTAATAATTATGCATTGATTTTATATTAAAATAAACAGTTAAAGCACCTTAAACAACAAAGGAAATAATTTGGGGTTCAATGATTTTCATGTGTTTTTGCCTCTAAATAATGTCAGGTTCATTTTGACTGATTATGCCTGTGGGTTTTTTTTTTCCTTTTATTAGTGAATTGGTCAGAAAGTGAATATTGTCAATCAGTTTCCATTTTTACAAATTTTATGCATAGTGTATCTATCAGGCATGAGATAATATGATAACTTGAAATCATTAGACATAATCAAGGTGTATTTTTCCTTGTGTTCAATATGGCAGAAAAACAAGCATATAAACCATATCAATATTATCACTACATAAAATTCAGTGATTGGAAACATTTACTTTTTTTTTTAAATGGGAACATTCACTTTTAAATTATGTTTCATCACCACCAAATTTTTCTTTGCCAAACTACTGTCAATTGAATTACCTGGTATCTTCATAAGAAGTCACTGTAGCCCCATTTTTCCCAGGAGGATGTGGAGGCAAACCTGGTGAAGTGAGTTGCTTGAGGGCACACAGCTTGTAAATGATAGGGCTGGCACTAAATCCCAGGGGTGTCTGATTTGATGTCTGGATAACCTGAAGCTCACTTTCCCCAGGCCTCTGTGGGGCTGCCATTGTAATCTCGTCCTGGGCGCTGTTTGAAGTCCTCATAGCCAGAAGCTGGGGTATTGGGCTAAACCAAGTAGTCCTTGAGGATGAACTGCTGGGCAGCATTCCCATCAGCCTGGCTCAGAAACCAGCACCCTTTACCAGCTCCTTCCAGGCAGCCAGATTGAGGGACCCTGTCACAGAGGCCCTCCTCACTGTGGAGCCAGTGGGATTCCCCACGGAATCGTCCCGCAAGCTCTGGGTTGCCTAAGCACAAGCTAGGTGGGGACAGCAGGAGGGGCTAGTCTCCAAATTCAACATCTCACAAGGCTAGCCTCCCCCTACCCCCTAAATCATCCAGTTCAGGGCAGCTCATGTTCCCTTAAACAGCTGGTATCTCTGCTCAAATTATTTCATGCCAGAGCCCCAAATCCTAATTTTCTGCACTGACAAGATTACTCTCCCGTCTGCCTTTAAAAGGAAGGATCACTGGAGTCAGGACCCGTGTGCAGAGGCACGGCTCCATGGTGTGAGCAGCCGACCAACACTCCTGGCAGAGCACTGAGAGACTGGACCCCACGTAGGCACTGAATCTCCTGCCTGAGCTTCAGGCTGAAGGCAGCTTAGCTGTTTTCCCCTTGTCTCCTCTGCAGGCTACCTCATGGGGTTTTGGGAAGACTGTCCTGGCCTTTGCTTTTATGTTTCCTCTGTTGTGCTCTTTCTTTTTAAGAAGAAATCAAAGAGCCGTTGCAGGTCTGCCGGGAAAGCAGGTGTAGGTGTTGTGTTGGTGAGGGGAGGGTAATATGATTAGGGGCACAGACCTTGGAGGCCTGGGTTCAAATCCTTGTTCCGTTTCTTACTAGTGTCAGACACCTGGCAAAGTCACATGACCTGAAACTGCACAGGAAGGGTTGTTAGAGATTAAATGACTCAGTGAGGTGGTGTATATGGATGGAGCTCCGCAGCAGAAAGGATCCCTGTATTACATGGAGGCCGTGCTTTGTGCCAGGCCCATCCCAGTAGATGTCATCTCTGCAAAGAGGGTCACTGACCTGCTGCTAGACATTGGGAGGTCCAGAAAGATGGCATGTGAACCCCCTTTTATGCTCATGTTTGCAAAATGTGACTTGATTCCATTTGCTCTTCTAGATAATTACATTGTTATTTACTCTGGGAGCATTGATGCTTCTTGTACTTATGGCAAAAAAGAAAATGCCTTTACCCTCCAACCCCCAAAGAAAAACTACCCTAGGTCATTAACTCATGTGTGGATAGCATTTGTCTCATCGAATCTTTCATTGAAGTGTTATGCCTTTGGAGAATTTGATTCCCATTTTAAGGATCTGGATGTTTTCCAAATCTTCTGAGTGCATGTAACTTAGAATAAAATTAAAACATCAAGTCCAGGCCTCTAATGGGGCTTTGTGATCAATCTCTGTCATAGCTGCCTTGCTAGCAGGTGTGGAAAACAGGGAGGAGACATAGAAAAACACCTGGCCATTGGATGGCTTCGCACCAGTGACCACGTTTGAATTGTGTGGAAAGCGTGGCCCCGGAGTGGAGGCACAGAGTACTCTACTGAGCAACACTGAAAATCGGAGTGAGTCCTGGGCTCCTTCCCTTGGTCTATAAGAGGATGAGATGAGTGGATGCTGAAAAGATTGGAGATTAGAATGAGATCAGATGGTGTTTCTAGAGAGGAGGAGAGTGAGGGTGTGGGGCAGGAGAGAACCAGTCTAGGCAGCTGTCACTTAAGCAGGCTGTGCCTCATTTTGAATGATCTGCAGCCACTGTTTGGGCCATCCTGAAGGTCAGTGTAAGCCAATGCGCTAAAGGGGCAGGGAGGGGAGAGCAGCTGCCTTTGTTCGCCTACACCCAGAGGTGGCAGGTCTGGGGGTTGGGTGGGGACAGGAGTATGTGGTGTGATCCCAGGCGCCGTGGGCACCTGCTGAAGTGACTGGCAGCTCCTCTGGGAAATGAGCAGAGCCTTCGCCTGCCCTGGAGTCCTCAGTGGAGGCTCCAGACTGCCCCCAGATGTGCATTTCCCATAAGTGAGTTGGGCAGTGGGGGGTACCTGGAGAGTGAAGTGGAGGAGCTCAGAGTAGTGGAGGAACCAGGGCAGAAGGGGTTAAGGTAAGCTCTGATGTTTCAATAAAACAGCAGCTTCTCTCCACAGACACTGCCACTCTCATTATCTCTGTCAATCAGATCCAAGCAGCAGAACTTCCAAGTTCCCTCTCTGGCTGACAAACTCTCTGTACATGTTCAAAGACCTTCCTGGGCTCCGGAAGCCCAATTACCAGCACTCCGACTTGCCTCTGCAATTCTCTTTCTTAAAGCCCTTCAATTGTCATCTGGAAAATCTGTTACTGCCACCACCTCGGTGGTTTCTGATGAGTGGGGCTGCAGCCGAGTTGCCGGGAGCCCCTCCTGGCTCCCTCGCAGGCCTAAGATGTTTTCTGAATGGGCACAGGTCACCTCCCACCTTCCACAGAGAGCAGAATGGCACTTGGGACAATGCTTAGGAGCTTTTTTTTCCGGAGAAATACAACAAAATTAGAATAAACGGTTACTGTGCAGATGCTCTTATTCCCTTTGAGGCCCAGCTCAAGAGTCAAATATATGGGAAGCCTTCCCCACCCAAATGTCCCCCCAACCCTATCTATGTATGTGCCAACGCCCCCCCCCCCCCAGGAATAGAACGGCAAACACAATGCTTTGTCACACTTAGCATGCAATGAGTGTTTGTTGAATAAATGATTTGGAAATTCTGGAAGTCTAATATCAGAAATTCCATTTGTTTTCAGCATAGGTGAATGCATTTGCTGAGAATATCTTGAATGTCAAATCTTGCCTGGCAGATAGTTTCATAATCCATTCTATGTGTGCTGAATTGTTCTTAATCGGATTAACGTCCCTGGGCAGGACAAAATGGGTCTGCTTTTTCTGGCTAACACTTATTATTCATCTAGCTGATGTCGTGGGGGAAACCGGGGTGCAACTGATTCCATGAAGCAGCCTCGGCATTAATTCTGATACTTACTGATTCGACATGCTGCAGGAGCAGAGGCGAAGCGTGGATAATCACAGATAATAGAGGGCCCAGATGCCACACATGGTTGGCACTGGGACCTGGTTAAGGATGCAGCCATGTCACTGGCTCTGGGCTGAAGCTACTCTACCCATGGGAGTGGGGAGCATGGCCATAGCAGCACCCAACTCCTCTTTTGTCTCAGTGGATAATGTTTTCTGGGCTCCCAGATCACCACCTTTCTCAGTCTTCACCGCAACCTGCCCTGGCTCTGAAGCTCTGCTGGATAGAGGGCTGGCTGAGTGCAGGCCTCTCATTTTACCAGCCTCAGAGCCCACCCACCCACGGAGGTGCTCCAGGTGGGGCTGGGTGCCCCACCTGGCGACCTGAATTGAGAACAACCCTGACTTTTTTGCTGGTAAGTTGAGGAAGATAATAACTACCTCCTCACCCCACAACCCTGGGTGATAGGGAGAGCAAGCAGAGAACAGAGGTAGGCAGGCTTTACAAACAGTGATCCTCTCTCACTTCTAAGGGAAGCATATGCATTCAAAATGCAAAGGGGGAGTGGGTCCTGGGGAACAGCCTAGGGTCACAGACAGTGTGGAAATCTGGGTAGGGCTTTTGATTACTATTTTTTATCAAAGTGAATCATCCTCAAAGGCTCCCATCTGGACCACCCCCTAAATGCCTCTACCTAAAGCATCTCAGATGACCCTTCTCTTTCCTTCCCAACCTTGCCCCTTGAGGGCAGCCTGAGGGATGACCTTCACACAGACAGGATCCCACTCCCGAGGCCTGTCTGAATCTGACCAGCTCTGGGAAGCGTGCTCAGCTCCTCCTTCACTGATAGGTGACACGGGCTCCTAGCAGAATGTATTCTCAGGAAAAATGGATTCTCTGAAGCTGAGAGGTGAGAGCCTCAGGGCAGAGTACTTCCCCTCTACCTCCCATGGTGAAAGGAGAACACAGGCTGGGTGCTTTGAAGCACAGTAGACTTTCCTGCTTTTTTGTGGGTCTGATCTATTCATGGTCCACAGCCATGAGAACCAGCCACTGTCTCCTAGGTTGGCCTGGGCACCTTTATAGGGTTTGAGATCATTGGGCCTTCACACCTACATGATGGGCTCTTTGCTTCACACATTGGTGCCAAAGAGGTCCCTGGATCCCCCGCCCTGAATGCCTCCAGTTCAGGTAATGATCTGGAGCTGAGAACAGTTAGGAGGGCTTGGCTGCCACTGCCTGTGGGATCCCTTGGATGGAGGTCTGTAGCAATCAGGTGCTGCTGACACTTACGTCTTGGTTGGACATATCCCAGTAGGGTCTCTCTCCAAATGACATGACTTCCCACATGACAATCCCGTAGCTCCAGACGTCACTGGCAGACGTGAACTTGCGGTAGGCGATGGCCTCCGGGGCCGTCCATCTCACGGGGATCTTCCCTCCCTGGAAGAAGGAAAAGCCTGGTCAGCCCAAACATCGGGTTTCTAGTTGAAGGCAGATGACAATAAACAGTACACACGTCTTTCCACTCTCCCACTCTTTGCCCCACTCTCCTATTTCCTGAATTAGGACGGCCAGGATAGTCTGAGCCCCATGGGCAGGCCTCCGTTACTGCACCCAAGGCGCTCAAGATGGTGATACGGAGAGCGAACAGAGAACAGAGGCATGCAGGCTTTGCAAACAGTAACACTCCCAGTCCTAAGGGAAGCGTATGTGTTCAAAATGCGTGGCCTCTGCTGGTCTCACACCAGGCGTGGGTGCACCGCATGTGAGGTGAGGGCTGGTACTCAAACTTGCTTGCCCCCTAATTCCCTGCATACTGATTCTAATGTCACCGTTGGGTGGGAGGAGAGAGTGTAACGGTCGTAAATGCACTACAACATGAAATCCATACGACATGCAACTGACTACATTGGCCACAAAATTTGGGTCAGAAGAAAGTAAAACAAACGAAAAAGGGGGGGGAGGTTTTTCTCGCTCTGCAGCCTGCAGACAACCCTGGGCCGAGGCCCCTGTAGATGCCTGCTGTCCTCCCTGCCCTGCATGGGAGTCGGCATCAGAGGCTGAGGTACACTTTGCTAAAGGGCCCACCTACGTGCATAGCACTTGCCTTCTACCCCAGGCCCTCGGTTTATGTCTCCGAGGTTCACGTCTCCTCCTCCTTGCCAGCAACTCCACCCTCAAAGTTCCGACATGGTTCTCTGCTTGGCCCTCTGTTTGTCTGCCAGACCTTGGCCTATTGTGTTTACTGAAGGGATGATACCCATTCATGCGGCCCATCAATCACTAGCCAATGAGCACTGCTTTGTGCCACGCCCTTTCTGAGAAGCTGCTGCCAGAGATGAGCGGCCAAGGGCCCTGCCCTCAGGCTGCACAGGGGATGGGGAGACAGACACAAAGCACCAGATACTTAAAATGTATGGTTAACAAGATGAAAAGTGATGAGGGTGAGGCTGAGGGGGATACAGGGTGTTCTGAGAACCAGAGGAGACTCCCTAACACAGGAGGGGTAGGAACGGTAGCCGGGAGCAGGCAGAGGGGCAGTTTCCTGGAACCTCTGGTCAAGCATGGATACCAGTACTGCCCCATTCTGCCTGTGTGACCTGGAGCAAGTTGCCTAACCTTTCTGTGCCTCGGTTTCTCATTGGCAATATGGGGGTGCTGATTGCACCTACATAGTCAGGTTGCTTTGAGGATTAAGTGGGTCACCATCCATACAGTGCTTGGGATGGGCCTGGGGTAGAGGGCAAGTGCTATGCACGTTAACTATTACTTCACTATCCTCAGTCCTGGAGGAGGAGGAGAGGTGAATCAGGCAAAGAGAGGAGAGGAGGGAAGTCTGGGCAGAGGTAGAGGTGCAGGTGCAGGTGCAGGTGCTGGAGGTGAGAGAGAGGTGCTAACTGTCGGGCAGCAGGATGGTGAAGCACGGTTTCTGAAGGGGAAGTAAGGGAGGTGAGCAGAGGGCAGGGCTCCCTCTGCAGGACACCGATGCCACTCAGAGGGGTAAAGTGGGGGCACTTTGAAAGGCTGGCCTCCAAAACACATCATTCACTAGAACAAATATGCTCCTCAAATTCGATGCTTCATGCAACTACCAGGATCTCACTCCCATGGTCCTTTTGTGATGCCTGGACTCCGCCTCCATAATACATGAAACCTGCCGCTCCCGGGCTCCCCTCTCCTCAGCCTCGGGCTTCGGCTGAAGAGGCTATTTTTATTCTGACCGTTCTCACGATCTGTTCAAACCACCAGAGATACATGTTGGACTTTAGCTAAAATACATTAAAAATGTCTAAGAGGCTAAGCTGAGATGAGGGAGAGAGAAGGAGCAAACGGCAAAGTGTATTTTTATCTGGACTCCTACCCAGGGTCTGGGAGAATAGAAGGTGACCTGCTGGGCCTCCCCGGGCACACGCCCAGCTCCCTGCAGAAGGGCCATGGCAGGGCTTCTGTGGTGGGAGATGTCCTCAGCGCAAATGCCAGCCACCAGCAACGTGGCAAAGGCCTGAGAGCAGGCTCGAGCTGCTCC